ACTTTAAAAAAACAATAACATATTGTTATTGTAATAAATATATTGAAGAAGATATGAACAATCAAATCTGTCAAATTTAAAAACTGTCTAAATTTTGTGAACTCTCTTAAGTCTTAATATAATATTACATAAGTCGAAATGTTTATTTTTTAAACATATTTAAAATCAAAAGTTACAGAGGAAAAAAAAATTAGTAAACAACATAAACAATAATAAACAACAAAAAACAATTTTTTAATGTTTTAAAAAATAATTCACGAAAGAACTCAAACTAAGAGTGAAAACATAGCCGGTCATATCTAATTAATAGTATGATAAAAAAAACTTCAGTTCACCAATTATTTATAGTGTATGAAAAATGTGCACAAATGTTTTAAAAAATTATTAAATTTTTTAATACACTAGGAACACAAAAAAACAGCTTGTAGTCTGTAAACTACAGAGTGATTTATATATCTATACATAAATGTTTTCAGGGATTTTACCAAAAGCATTTATCTCATGTAATAAAAACAGTGGAAGGAAGTTACAGAAATACACATCCGTTTAGAAACAACTGGTTATTGAGTAAGTATATTGGAAATATTGTGTACTTCACTTCACATACCTAATTGTTGTTATTGAATATTAAACAAAACATTTTACTTAAAATTTACACGCCTAACTGTAACTTCTAATCATTTCTTACCAATTCGTAATTTAGTTGAATTATAACTTATTACTTAAACATTAATTTAATGTCTGTGCATATAAAATATAAAAGTTCATGTAACCCAACAGTGATGCAAGTTCCATTAAAATTAACTAATTAAAATTAATCAGTTTTCAAGTTCGTCAAATTGAACTTTAGTAGATGCCAATACGTCATACAATTTTAAATAATTATACCCACAGACACAATTCAAAAGATGACCTAAATTCAGTATTCCCTATAATGCTGGCAATAACATTGTTGGTACTTATCACGTGTGAGTTCTGTACGAATTTATAAATATTAAATAGGTACACAATTTATGCATTTCTCTAATAGAGAATAATAATTAAAAAATTATAAAACATCTCTCCAGAGATATAATCAGTCATATACGAGTCAAGTAAAATTAATATTATCTTATACCCATTAACCCAACTTAATTCGTGCAACTACGGACTATAAATTAATAAAAATACGTAAATCCATCCATGGAAATATAACGTTTTGTTTCTCTGATAAAAATGCATTTTTCGGAAAAAAAATAGTGTTACAATTTTTATCTTTAAGAAGTACAAACTCGATCAAATGTTTTACCAGAAAATATACGAAATTAAATGGATGTTGCAATTAAGTTCATTTTTTCTGGTCTAAAAAGTGTCACCGGACCCAAACAAAAACAACAAACATATCAATGTTAAACCAATACATTTATCGCTAATTCTTCAGAGTTCTAGGTTTATTTTTTTTATTAATCGAATAACGACAAAAACGTTAATGATTTTAATCTGCCCATAGCATTAAATGATTTAAACTAATCGCTTGAATATTATTCAATGTTCACTTTTATGACGGAATTAAACATTAAAAATTAGTTATCTCTTTATAGTTGATTGTTTTCTACTATTCAAAACCGTTTATTTAAATTTATATATGAACTGTGATTTTGATTTTCACTGTAATCAGGGACGCCTTAGTGTTGCTTTTTGTTCCGTTATCTATTGTTTTAAGTTTGATCTACGGATAATGAGCAATACGCTTTGCACGAGCACCAGTAATCAAATGAGTAAATCCGTTTCATTGACTATGGTCGAAAAGGGTTCAAATAAGTGGTGAGTGAAAGGTTAAATTATGTTAAAATATCAAATATTTCGATCAATGTATATTAATAACCAAAATAAAATATCAATTTTTTAATAATTTTCAGTAGGTGTACCCAAATAACATTAAATATGTTAAATATCTGAAGACGATATTATTACTTTTATATTCTAAATCATTTCTTTTACAGTCTGGAAATGATACTATTCAAAAGTATTTAATGAAATAACTTACTAAAAAAAAAATTGAATGGATGGCACTTCATAAATCATTACGGCCATGCATATTGCATACTGCTTAAACCATTGACCATTTTTTATGAGAACTATTATCATTCAACACGTTGTACAATAACACACTGTAGCTGTTGATGACCAAAATTGTCTATTTAAATTGATAGAAAATGTATCTTTCTCCATCTGACTTATATTTAATCAGTATAAAATATACAAGTTAAATACACCACTGTCATGACCACCTGCTTAATCATCGTTATAACCGACAAAACGAACGGCGTATAATATTCAACAATATTCAATCAATTATACTGTACATTGGTATCATTTAAATCTAAAAAACATAAATAGGGGTCTGAATAACTTGATGTTATCATATCTTCTATAGAATTATCACAATTTATGATGCTTTTATACGTATTTGGTTTTTTAGTCAAACTTAGTGTTCCTATGCGAGGGCGTCTAACTTAAAATATTATATTATTTTTCAGCAGGTCACGTCACTATTATAGTTATGTACTATTCAATTTTGATCTTGAAATGATGAACCATAAACATGAATTCTATAATTTTATTTATAAACATCTGCAAACAAGACTTTTTTGTTTTGATTTCTGTAATTTATAATTTTTCACTCCAAAAGAAAATATATAATATTTGTTTTGGATATGAACGCTTTCAATTTTCAAATAAACCAAGTTTAATTTATTTGTGTACTAAATACCTAAAATAAATTACATTTACATAGGCGAATTTCAAGTTGGTACAATCGTACAAAAACTTTAATCGAAAACATTCCAAAAATGTAAGTGGTATTCATTAATGTAGACATTATTTTCATTAAATATTATTATAAAATATAGTTTATTATACGACCAGCAGTATAGAGCAGGTTATATCCTTCATGTTGTATAAAACTCTCAAACTGTATTATTATCCGTTTCGTTTTATGATTCTTTAAAAGTATTACGTCAAAACCCAGCAATAAATGAGGAGTGCGGGCCAAAAACCACACTGTAAACTAAAAGTATTATAATAATACGAGTATACTATACAAACCGCTCTTAACTTAAAAATCAAAACTCAAATCATAGCTACTCGGACAAGGGCAAAAAAATAAACTCATACTTCCGTTTATACGAAATTCCACTCAACCAATCCCATCATCTGAACACTCAAATCAAAAATAGTATATTTCTATCGTAGCCGCATCCATTAAAATTCCCGCTATCAACCTTGCACATACTTCGTCGTTAGACGTAGCGTTAACAATTCAAAATATGTATTGATGGTTTTACAGCAATTGTTATTGCAAATTCTCTTTTCTTACATCTACCATTAACGCACTTAAGCCATTCGTCCTTACAATGTCTACGAATTAACTCTCATCATACATTCCATTTTTTTTTTTCAACTAAAATTTGTAGGTTCGCATTAGATGGCGAGCAACTATTTAAAAATTACTTCACAATACAACTAAAAAACTATGTTATAGACATTGAATTTAAATTATTTAGGTACAGCGTTAAAATTAAAATCCTTTTCATTTACGCAAAAATGCAATTAAATGCTATGGAAAAAAATTTGTATACATTTTATCATAGCCAAATATAATCTCCAATATTTATTTTTTCTCGACTGCATACAATTTAAATAACGTGACCAATATTAATTTTAGTTACATAATTATAAGCCAATAATTTGTTATTTATACACAAATTGTGTATCGTACAATAACAACTTTAATGAAGTCTCAAGTTTTAATACTGAAATTAATTAATCTTTCGAGTTATTTACTAGTTCTCTAAAATACAGCTTTTCAACGGATAAAAACAAACAAAATTAATATTTTTATTGACATTGTTTTGTAAGAAATAATAAACATTTTTTTTTTAAATTGCATTAAAAAATATAATAACTTAAAATGATCTCTAATATATTATGTTAAGTTACAATATTTGACGTATTAAATATAAATAATTTACAAACGTAATTTACTTTACTTTATTGTTCTCAATATTCAAAACAAGAAGATAATTGTTTTACTCTTGGTATGATGATGTTTTTGACTATTTAGAATCAGGACCATTGTTTTTTAGAGTGTCACAAAATTCAAAAGATAATTCAAAAATAAAATATCTGTACAATGTATATGAGTATAATTTTAGACAAGTCATAGATTTAGAACATACTAAGAAATATATATTTTGTTTTTAAAGACATTACTTTTATTAAGTACCTACATCCTAGTTATCGAATATAAAAACTCAATAAATATATATATATAATATTTATCTAGTCACAAATCGAACCAATGTCACTCAAAAGAAAATTTTAATTTTGAGTATGTTCGATTAATTTTACATTGTCAATCGTGTCTAAAAAAAGATTGATTTAAAATAAAATAAATTACCAAAAAATATGATTTAAAACTATTCACATTTTTTATGAATTTAACATTGTCATCTCTTAGGGGATTGCCAATGAATAATTTTCTTACTAACCATTTATTAAATTAATTAGTTTTACTAATTTTAAATAATACCAACTGATTAATGATAAATATACTTGATATGGTATTTTGAATTAATATACTATTTATGATATTCAGTTTAGAACAAAACATTGTCATTTTGTTAGTATTTAAAGTTTGTTTTCGTTCAACTATACATAATATGTATTTATTGAAATTATTACATCACGTATTGTATGTAAACTGACGTAAAATGTACAAATTTTATTAATTATGTAAATAATAATTTTCTCAGCCAACTGAGCCAACTGCTCTGGTTTTAAACAAAATATGTCCTCGCTTTATTCATAATTAAATGTTATTGTTGTCTAACATCAATATAAGTAATAATTAACGCATTATTCCAGTGTAAATAAGACATTCTAATTATCAATTGAAACGTTCCAAAGAATATTGAAAACTAATTTGAAATAATTGCGCATTGTTTATTGGTACTTACGACGAACACAGGTTTTTCCGTCGAAACAGTTTGTTCTGATGAATGTCAGGTTCGACGAAAAATAAAACCACAAAAATGCACAAAACGATTTCACACGCACGTCTGAGTCGGGTGCAAAAAAAAAAAAAAAAAACAAAAAATATCGAAAGTCGAAGGTTTCGAGTATTGCGTCTCGTCGTGGGTATAAACACTCGACGATGCGCCGTCGGTATGGCTTTCAAATGGAAAAATCCAAAAGTATACTATAGGTATTCTGTCTGTCGTCAACAATTATCGGAAATAACTCTCGTCGACGGCGGCGGTCAGACAAAACGGCGCGCGAAGTGTTGCTGACTGGCGAGGACCCGGCGAAAAATCACACTACGGGGGTGGAAAACCGGCGCGAATACTCAACCCCTCGTTCGGCGGCTTTGCGGCAGCCGTTCGCCGCCAGGCTTCGCTATATCAACGCCGTTCGGGCTGTACCCGAGACCTGCGATATTATTGGCGTAGACAGCTCGATGCTTGTCCGACTTACCGTATACAGTGTTCTAGGCGAAATAATCTTGTACCCACGGAAAACAACGATACGGCATGTCGATGCGAACCGACTGCGATAGCGATAATATTAATTATTGTGTTGTCCGACGAAACGAAATTCGCGCGGTATTCGAAACTCAGACGAATCCGCGACATTTCGTAGAGGATTCGGCCTGCGGGAGTCGTGCACATCGATACGGATTCCATTTCGTCAACAAACACGTCGTATTAGGTGTATCTGGACAAGACTGTTATGTACTGTAGACTCTTCGAGATAAATATAACGAATAATTATTATCACCGTAAACCCGAGTACGAATATCTCGAATTTGGTTTGATTTATTGCTATGAATTATATACTTTGAATTATGTAAGAGTATAAAACACCACGAGTGCACCCCTTTTGAAAACGAATGTGGACATTTATATTTTTGTTATCGTTGACAATATTTGTAAACAATATAGTACAGTATGGGTATCAGTATAAAATCGAGTGCGCGTTTAAAAAGGTATGGCCGGAACTAATTACCTACTTATTGTTTGGTATATTTTTTATGAAACTAAGAAATAAATTATGCCCACACACACACACACACACACACAAACGTACCTGCGTGTCGTTTTTTCCACTGAAATATAAAAATAAAAACAAACTAAATAATTACGTTAAAAGGGTTTAATCTTTATCTTTATTTGGATAAAATTCAAGTTTTAATATTATTGTTCTGCATCCATTAATGTTTTTTTATTTTATCTGGCTCAATACTACGTACATACAAGATGCAAATACTGATAGAATTGGTCAGTGGTCAATGGTCAGTGGTCAGTGGTCTTGTCACTCGTCCTCCGACGTGAATTCGTATCGCATTACTCATAAAATAAGTATAATAATAATATTACACTATCAGTTTCAAAGCATCGAAATGAGTTCATCGCAATCGAAATAGTTTTAGTTTCTTTTCTGCACGTGGAGACTATCCATTTCCATTTTATTGAAGTAGGTATGATAATATTATATTTTAGTGACAAAGTGAATTTAAAAATATTAATTACGCTGCAGCATTTTCAGACGCAGGTACAGTGTTAGGTTTTTTAAATAAAGTGTTTTCAACACTGTTCGCTGTGATTCACTCAAATGTTTATTATATTATTATTCTATTATTAATATTTAATTGTAAAGCAATTATTAAACGTCTCAAACTTATCGCTGAGAATTCTTGATCATTTCGAAGAACGTCTTGTAAAATGAAATAAAATGTTTAATATCTATATTAAAATCTGTTAAAAAGTTTTATTTTGGTAAAACAAATTTATTAAAAAAGTTTAAATCTATAATATATTTATAATATTAAACTAATTGTCTAGTTTCGTAGTTAAAAATCAATGGTGACTGTTTGATAGCAACAATAATTGTTTATGTCATATTATAATGGTAGGTGTAATCATAACTTTATTTATATTTTGTGTATTCAATCTCGCCGTCAAAAACATATATTATATTCATATTAGTCATTTAGATAATAATAAATTATAATACCTGCATATATTATAGGCACCTACGTTATGATTTGTTTTGATTTTATTGTTTTTGATTATTACTCATGTTACAATAATATGTAACTATAAACTATATTACATATTTAATCAAATGTCACTAACATAAAAAGTGAAATTGATTTATGAAGGCGTATGCTTTAAGTCTTAAATAAATACGAGAAACAAAAATGGGTCCAAAATCGATCTCCAGGGAACACTATAGTCACTACTAAGTACACCGCTGAATCGCGACCTATACGCATTTAGGCAATGGTGTGTTTAACAATATATTATTTTACTTATTGCACACACACTGTCGTTGAAGTGTGTACGGGATAATCAATAATTGTGCAAAGTTCTAGAGTTTAAGTTAAATTAGAAAATTTGCAAATTTATTTTTAATTAGGTATCTGGATATGTAAATAAGTACAATGCAATAAGTTTTCTAATTAAATACTCTTTGATAATTGTACAATAGGTACACGGATGCTCGTAAAACATCCGGCTTGTTCAATCGTTTAAAGAAAAACGTTAGTTTTGATCTAGTGCAGTTTATACATTACGCCATGAAATTTTATTGTGCAAGACTAATATTATTATTTATCGCGAAGGTGTTTAAAGACCGCGTTCGAGGCAGATTAGGTTTGATTGGCGCAGTAGGTGCAAAATAAAAATTCAAACATTTATTTCAGTTTACAACTGTTTGTAAAACTGCAGGATCTTATTATAATATTTATTTGTTTTTAGTTATTTTGTTGATCGAATTACATACGTCGTGAAACACTTTACTAGAACAGCGGACATTTGTAGCTTAGTAAATTAAACAATGTTTTAATTGAAAACAGTAATAAAACTGCCAAATTTACTACACCAACTACCAATGTTTGTATTTTTTGTTTATTTTTTAAAACAGAATTCAATGCAGGAAATCTATTTTTGTGTATTTTTTGTCAATGTTGGGTGTTAGATACAATTTTTTATTCGGACGAGTACTGCGCCTTAGGTCACAGTTAATTAAAAAAAATACTTATTAGTTATATTTTATATACCTACCCAATATTATTTTCAAAACAAAATATAAATATCATCTTAACGTTAATTAAAAAAAAAAAAAATTATACAGTGATACATCAAATTTTAACATTCTAAATTCCGTTAGTTTTTTGGCAGGGCTTTAAGTAGCAATTTGTAAAGGTATGTTAAAAATGTACAAATAACTTATTGTATTCAACGTTCGAACTTTTTGAGCTAAGAACAAAAAAAAACAACAACAGCAGATCAAACTGTAGCTCCGAAAATATTGAAAATTATAACATCCATAGATAATTCGTACAGCAATAATATTATTGAAAATATAGTTACAAAAGTCCTTATGGTTATTTTTACGTTTATTCTTAATGAATAATAATAATATTGTCGAAATCGATTGAGCCATAAACTGTTGTTTTGTTAATATTACCGTTCATAACATTCTGTTGTTATTTGTTAGTTTTTACTACATTATTTAGAAAATAACTGGACGTATTTTACTTTTGACTCTTAAAGCACTAACTAAATCAAATTTACTCTCTTCAAATTTAGTATTGAACATTTTATATTTATTTTAGTTGTTGTATCATTTATTGTTGTGTATTGTTAATTGTTATTTATGCCATTTAATTAATAATATCAAAATGTTTCATATTTTAATACTTCTATAGATTTTAATGTTTTGTTGATTCCAAAACGAAACATAATTAACTATATTAAATAATTAAAAAAGGTAAATAAGTTTATAATAGCTGATATAAAATGTTACCATAAGAAGACAATTTAGTATAACTAAGTTAATTGTTAGATTTTATAAATGCTAAACACTGCAATGATTTTCCCTAGCTTAACCTTATCTAATCTAACTTAAATTGAATTCGTAAACATTAACTATTGGCAATTTATTTAATCAATGTTAGAGTAATATTTCGAGTAGTACACATCGGGATGCTTATAATAGTTGGAAATTTAATGAAAAAAAAATATATTTTGTGTGCGATATTCATATTAACTTGCAACGTAGCATCTAAAAAATAAACAATTATTCGATGTTAATTTATTAAAATTGTCTTTGAACTATTTATAAATTTAGTTTTATTTTTCTCTTGCATTTTGTTAGACGAGTAAATATTTGGCATGGTATATTTTAGCTTTTTGTTTACTGGACGCTAACCGGCTTGGTAAGCTGGAATACTCCCGAGTTGAAATGGGCACGTAGACGTTTTCTTGGATGCAAACCAATGGTAGAGTTGACTAACTGGCTCAAAAAAAGATACAATTACTGATCGGATTGTTAAAACCATAAGTCTCAGAGACAAGTAAATTAATATCGTGAAAAAAAATGTTCATCACTCGATTTAATAAACGCTGTTGCGGGTCAAAGTTAAAATTACGAGATAAAAATCAAAAATAAAAATTATGCCGAGGGTAAATAAATATTTTCATGATTATCAGCTGTAAAAAATACTAAATTAAAGAAAAATGATTTCGTATTTAAAAATAAAACTGCAATTAATGCATACTAAAGAATAAAAAATAATTGTCAATATTATTTTAGTAGAAAAAAACAAAAATACCTACTGTGGGACGTAGGTGTACACCGGTTACGTACTTTTTCCCTACTATCACCATAAGCATACAATCAACACATCCTAACTACATAAAATCGTTGAGTATGAAAGCTACTGCTACTATATACATTATTTAATGTTCCGGTACACAGGGAAAGGTATATATCCTGGGATTTATGAAAATATAACGTATTAAAGGAAAAAGTCAATGGGATAAAAACATACATACCTATTTTGAACAAATTGTAAACACGAAGAATAGTTTGTTTATGCATAAACATCAAACTATGATTTATACCTAAGGATGCATCTATGTTGTTATAATGTTTATGTTTAATAACAGACATTCGTATAATAATAATAACTCAAACGTACCTATAAAACACAAGTATTCAGACTGTACAATATTATTGCATCTTATATTACAAGATTAACATCATAATATTTTTAACGGAAATATTAAAAATAAATACAATAGGTAACAACTAATTGAATACGTTTAAGACAAAATCAAATTGAAATGTGTGTCAAACAAAAATTCATATTCGAAAAAAAAGAAAGTGAACTAACTTTTTATCCTAATTAGGAACTCTATAGTTAGAAATTTAAACAAAAATTTTTGTTTTGTAAAAATATGGTCAAGATTTTTCAAATAGTGTGCTTATTTAATATATCCTTATTACTGGTTCCATGA